AGAACGTTTTTTTTTAGCCGGTAGCTGTTTCCACAGGGGATTCAGCCCATTTGAGAAGTTTACAATGTGGCTTGATCCCTGGACCAAATGATCCAAAGATCATTTGGATTTGCCTTCTGTGATCAGATGATTTACAGATAGGTTGTATGTAATTTTCATAAATCAGGCTTGATGTGATGGTGCTGTGATCTAAAACATATGGAAGCTATTTAGCTATTGCTAAAAAAAATATCAATGTAATTCATGTTACTAGAATTTTTGACATATTTTATAGAGTAATACTTTCCCTTTCAATTATCGACTAGTGCAGTACTTATGTGTCTTGATTTTCAATTACTTTAAGCATAAACTGGAGCTTATACCCACCTCTCGCTCGTACTCCCTCACTGGGGCATCACTGCCTTGGTCCAGGCCACCAGAAGACAAAGAGCCATCTGAAGGGGAGGCCATTGGCTGACGCTTTGCTCCATAGCTACCTCCTGAGAATTCTCTCCGCAAAGCACTACCATTTTGTGCAGATGTTCCTAGAAATGCACCCAGGAATTTAACTACATACCATGTAAAAGCATTAGAACTATAACCCATAGTATTCATTGTCATCCTTTACCATTATTTGATCTACTGATGGTTGCTAGTTTTGTTTTTCCATTGTCATTCCTTTCTATCAAGGCTCTTCTCCCTTCTCCATCCCAGCCTCCATTTCAGCAAGAGTAAAAATAATTTTATATGCTGTATTGAATTAACCTCTCTGTGTTGGTTAAGGAGAAACTGCTAGGTGGGGTAAAGTATAGGAAGGGAGGTTTAACATCTTCCACTTGCATTGAATCCCAAATATTTTGTCAACATTTCTGGAAATGTTGGTCCTATAACAGTTCATTGCAAATGAACAGCAGCCCTGAAATACAGTATATCTGAAAGTATTGTGCAACTGCCCCATTTCTTAGTGCCAATCCTGATTAGGCCTCCATCAATACCATGACTGCAATACACCAATAATAAAAACAATACAGAATGTTCAACATGATACGTGCATTGAAGTACATTTGTTTTCATAAAATATAATCATACTTTTAATATGATTGATATTTTTGCAATTTAATCCCTGCATACAATATTAAAATAGTGGGAGTTCTATGATTTTAACTTTCCTCATACTTCTCTACAACAATATGCACCGAGTAACAAGTGGTTTTACAGCTAACACTTCTTTACTGTTGCCAAGAAAACTCCCTGGGCACTTCCATGTAATTATCAGGAGTCAGGCTCAGCTCATTTCTTTAAAAAGATTAAATTTCATTAGTAATTAGTTCTGCAGCTCTTTCTCATATTCAGATGAAATAAAAATACCCTTTTATATGTTTATGAGGCTTTATTCTAGGTACTATGTTGATATATTTCATAATAGTGAAATATGACAAATAGGCAAAAACAGTTACATTTCCCCTTTTTTAAAATATGGAATATTGTGCTGATCTCAGCAAATATTGTGCTGATCTCAGCAAATATTGTGCTGATCTCAGCAAAAACTGTTTTCCCAACATGAGCATGTGTTTTCTCAATATTAGGGAGTTCCAAAAGTTAACTAAGAAACAAACACAAATACACTACTTGTAAACAGCTGAACATATATAGATGAACCCAGTGTATTGCCTTTTAAAATTATTAAGTCTGCATTGCTTTCATATTTGTTTTCTCTCTAAAGAGAATGTCTAATCTTTTCTCTATAAATTCTTGATTAAATTCCCTTTACTCTTAAGGTCGTATATCCTTGACCACCAAAATGTCTGCCTCTTTCTTAATACATCCTTCACGAAGCAGACAAATACAGAGGTGCCAGTACACCCTTCTCAAGGAAAATAGAGAAAGAGGCTGACACCAAGTGAAGGCTCAGCAACTTACTTGCTGCCAAGCCACTACTAGCACTCATGGAACGTCCAGGCTCGGTCCGGGTTTTTGTGATTGAAGGGATACTGACAGAACCACTAAACATTGCCCGACTTTCCTGAGGCCGAAGGTTCTGCAACAGAAAGACAGTCAAGTCAGAAACAGCTAAGAGGTAAAGTCATATAAAACAGCAAGATGACCAGGTTAGAATTTAGAGAAGACCTTGACTGACTCGCTCACTAATTAACAAGCACAGGCAATCCATCCCATTGGTTTGGGTGTGCTAAAAATTATAAGCCTCTAGTATCCCCAGCCAGGTTATTGAAGAATGATGATGGGAAATTGGGGCAAACACAAGGGCAGGGTTAGAGTGGGTTAGGGAAAGCTGCGATAAGTAAATAGTCATCAGCGACAGCAGATGATTGCAAGGAGGCAATTGAAAAAAAAGAAACAAGAGAGACTGGAGATTTTTGACCTGAGGGTGAAGGGATCATGCAAAAATGTGGCATTTTCTTCTTTCAAATATGAAAGGAAGAACATACGCCAATGATGCTTCCCTTTTGTGCCATCTTTTATTTTTTATTTTTGTCATTTTATTGTTGTGTTGATCATTAATGTTATGATTTTGTTTATTTGTATTGTTTTATTCATACTATGGATGTTTTAAAATTTTGCACGTATGTAAATTGCTGAGAATTGTGTGTGTGAGATAGGGCAGAAAATCAA